GGGGTGGGGGCGACTGGAGTCTGCCAGGTGGGAAACTCCAGGGTGGGGACTCCAGGAGGCGGGGGTTCCGGGGGGGAAGGGCTGGGGGGCTCCTAGGGCGGGGTTGGGGGCCATACCTTCCTATCTCCTCCTTGACCTCGTAGAAGGAGTGCAGTCTCCTCCGGGAGCTTTGCTTCTCGGAGTCCAGGTCGTCCCCTGTGGTCAGGGAGGGGGAAGCCTGCGGTGTGGCCAGGTGTCACCGCCCCGTCCCTCTGTCCCCAACTCTAGTGTCCGCGGGGGCAGCTCCTTGTGCCTGAGCCCCTGAGAGCCCCGGGATCCCCACACCCGCGTGGAGCCGAGACGGGCCTGGGAGGGGTCTCCAACTCACCCCCCAGGACCAGCAGCTCCGCCTTGCACAGAACCTGGCCCCCGGGGTTGCGGGCCAGGCAGGTGTAGACGCCGGCGTCGTGCTGGGCCACGTCCCTCAGCACGAGGGAGTACGTGGTCCCTTCCTGCTGCTGGCTGAGCCGGGTGTCATCCACCAGCTGGGCGCTGTCCTGGAGGCGCAGGGCGGGGCGGCTATCAGCCCATCCTGGGGACCCGGGGACCGCAGCCCACCCTGCCCTTCAGGGAGTCCGTGTTCCGTGGAGATTTCACACACTCTCTCCTCCTGGCCCCCACCCCGCGCCTGTCCTTACCTTGTACCAGGTCACTGTGGGCTGCGGGCTGCCCTCGATGACCGCTTGGAACTGCGCGGTGCCGCCCCTCTGTGCCTGCAAGTCCTCGATGGTGACCTGCATGGACGGGGGCCCTGGGGATGGGCGGGGGAGTCGGTGGGGAGGGGCCTGGGCTGCGCGCCCACGGCCCCGCCCACCCGAGCCGGCCTGCGGTCACCGACACCGCAGCGCCCTGGGTGGGCAGCCAGACCCTGAGATATGCCCCAGGGTGACAGAGCCCACCTGCCTCTCAAGTGAAGGCGACCTCCTCCTGACTCAACCCAGGCCCCTGACGGTCAGGAAGCGCTTCCTTCCCTCTAACCACTGCGTCAGCTCTCAGAGGGCAGGGCACACAGAGCATGCTAACTTGGGAGGGGAAAGGGCCGCGGACATCCAGTTCATGGCTGCCCCCCTCCCCTCCAAGTGGTGCCCGCGGAGGGGACACAGAGACAGAGAGCAGTGGGTCCCCAGCCCCAGCAGGGCTGGGACACGCAGGTTGGCCTCAAATGCCCCACCCTGCATACGCCCCCCCAGCCTGGGGGGCACACGCGTAACCCGCTGCGTCCCCTGCCTACTTGTGGCACCCATGTCCCTGGTCTGGTACACGTAAGTCCGGTGCGTGGTCTCCGTGAACACGTGGCTGTGGACGTCCCAGAGCTGCGCTGCGCCAGCCCCCGGCCAGGCCGCACCCTCCATCCTGGGGTGGTGGAGCCGGGTGAGCTGTTGGCCCGCCCCTCCACTCCTGATAAGATGGGGGTCCCTGCCCTGCGGCCACGGGGGGCTGCAGCAGACTCTTCTGGAGGGATGTACAGAGTGGGACCCCAGCTCTGGGGGAGGAGGGGCTCCTCCCACGCCCGTCACCCCGAGGGCGGTCTCTCCTCCCTGCCCTGCCCTTGGGCTCGGGGTGGGGCTGACAAGGAGCGTCCTGGGGGGCCCAGAGCCCACCCCTTACTCCTCCTGTCCCCGTGGGCAGGACCAGTGGGCCCTGCCCTGCCCCTAGGATGTCCCCTCGTGGACTGTCCCCACCCAGTGCGCCAGGGAGGTTACCGGATGGGCACAATGCGTCCCTGGGCCGCGGCATGGGCCCCCGAGTCCTGCTCCAGGCCCGCGTCGGGGAGGGGCTGTGGCACCTTCAGCCGGGGCTCAGCTGGTGAGAGGCGAGAGACTTAACTGACACGCAAAACGGAGTGGGGTCGGGGGCCATGCCCCACAATGTGCCCGTGTGTCGCCCTCGAGGGTCCAGAGGCTGGCCGCACAGGCAGAGCAGGGGCGCAGGGTTGGGGCCCCCAAAGCCAGGGCTCTGGCCGCGCATGCGCACCTTGGCCCCCTCGGCCTCCTTGCAGAGCCCAGAAGCCGGGGCACCTTCCTGTCCTGGCGCCCAGCCCGGGACCACTGGCCCTGAGGCTTCCCCCGCCAGGCCGTGCCCACGGCCCGGCCATCCCTACATGGGGCGCAGGAGCCTCGCAGCATCTCTGGGGTCTCATCTGTCTGGAGCAAAGCTCGATACCCCTCCCTCCTCTTCCTCCTCCCCTCCTCTTCCTGTTCCTTCTCCTCCCCCTCCTCTTCCTTCTCCCCTCCTCTTCCTCCTCCCCCTTCCTCCTCTTCCTTCCCCCCTTCCTCCTCCCCTTCCTCTTCCTCCTCCCCCTCATCCTTTTCCTCCTTCTCCTCATCGTCCTCCTCTGTCTCCTCTTCCTCCCCCCCCTCCTTCCTTTCTCCCTCTCCTTTCCCTCCTCCCCCTCCTCCTTCTTCTCCCCCTCCTCCTCTTCACCTCCCCAGGAACACAGGGTGTCTGCCGAGGGCTGACCACGGGAGGCCTCTGGCTCCCAGGACAGACATGCTGAGGCTAAGAACCTCCCAGAACCCACCTCCCTGCCTAGTTCCACAGATGGGGAGACTGAGAATGACCAAGGGGTGGGCCTTGTCCAGGGTCTCCAGTGCATGGAGCCATTGGGATGTTGGGGTCCCCAGGGCTCTGCCAGTTTACCCCCATGGGAAGGACAGCCGGGGTAACCAAGACGGGTCAGCACGGGGGGGTGGGGGGATGTGGGAGCAGGCGGCACTTTGCAGTCAGCCTCCCACTGGGCCTCACCGGATGCGTCTGCAGCCTCCATGCCTGGGGGCTGGGGACCAGCATCCTGGAGTTCCGGTGGCCCCCCAGGGCCAGAGCCTGGGCCAGCATGGTCCCCTGCAGAAGGTCCCAAAGCCTCGGGGCACACCAGTGTCTTCTGGACAGACATGATCTCCTGCTCTGCTCGTTCCAGGGTGGCTGGGGGTGGGACAGCAGCGTCTGTAGGGGAGGTGAGTCAGAGTGTAGGGGTGACCTGGGCCTGGGGAGGGTGTCGAGGAACTCTACCCTGTCCTCAGAGACTGCCCAGGTGAGCTGACCCCGGGCTGCCCCTCCCACCCGCTCTGCTCTGGAGGTGCCAGAGGTGGAGGTCCTGAGAGAGAGAGGGACCCAGGCACCGTCCCGGGGGGGAGGCAGCGAGGTCAGGGCCTGGCCACCCCCAGGCTGGTGCCCAGATGCCTTTGGGAGAACATTGGCTCCACGAGGGGCAGCTGGGCCTGGACACCCGGTGCCCCACGCCCCACCCCATTCTGCCCTCAGTCTCAGCTCATTCCATCCCTTCATCCCGGGGCTGGCCTCCCCCAGGGCCCACTCCGGACGTGCTGGGCTGCCCAGCCCCACACTCTAGGGACGCCTGGGACAGCCTGATGCTGAATCAGGGGCTAGGGGATCTGAGGGGGGTGGACCCCCTTCCTGCCCTCCCAGGGCAACCCCTGTCCCCTCCCAGCAGCTTTCTCCCCTCCACCTGCAGCCTGGCCCAGCCCACGTCACCACACCCTCCCTGGCCCCTGCTCCGCCTCCCACGCCGCCCCTCTGGGAAGCATCAGACCCTCTGTGTCTCAGCCTCCTCAGCACCCCAGTGCAGCACCCTCCTCCTCCTCCTGGCTGCCAGTCCCCGTGTGGCTGTGCCACGGCCTCACACATGCCCAGGAATGCCCTCCACTCCCAGCAGGTCCCCTGCCTGAGCCTCCCTCTTCTGTATCCTCAGACCCCAGGCTGCAGAAGCAACCAGACGGGCTGTGGTCTGTCTGCCCTCTCCGGCACCGGGGCTCACGCCCTCTCCAACATTAGGGCAACCATCCTCTCCTTACCCCCTCCAAGGAGGTCAGCGGGACCCCTGAAGCTTCACATCCCCCCACATCTGTCCTGACAATGGCACTGGCTGCACAGAGGGCAGGATGGTCTGCTCAGCTCCCAGCAGGCTGAGAGAAACCACCATGGACTGTCCTGGTCCCACTGTGTGTACCCGCAACCAGCCCCACAGCCCACGTGCCAGCAAGCTGGACCAGCAAGCTGTCACGCCTCCAGCCAGGGACCCCAGGACGGACCATGACCCGCGGGCCACTGCTGGGTGCCACCCAGGGCTGCCGATGGAGGGGACCTAGGCTGCCCACCGGTGGGTCCCCAGGGCCAGGCCTGAGGGCCCCTCCCGCCCAAATCACTGGAGCCACAGGGTGGAGAAGCCAGAAGGAGTAGGACAAAGACAGTGCAGGCAACCGGTTTATTGTTATCGGGATCCACAACGGGCTGCTTCCCAGGCACAGACCCTGGCCCGCCCAGGAGGGTCTGCAGAGCTGGGCCCCACGCAGGCCTCCCGGAAGCCAAGAACAACGTTCATGGGTGACATGTGGCCTGGGGAAAGCCCCCCTGGCTGGGCCAGGGGCAGGGCTGTGCCGGCCTGGCCACTGGGACTGGGGCGGGAGGTGGGGCAGACGGGGCCTACGTGGCAGCCGCTGCCTCGCAAACGGAGCAGGACTGATGCCCAAGTCCGGCTCTGCATCCAGAGCCCTGAGGCCCGGGCTGCCGTCTAAGGGTTGCTCCGGCCAGCGCTCTCGGAGCGGTGTGGGTACTTGCGAGATGACAGATGTGTGAGTATCCTCCACTGAAAACAAGTCCTGTGAGGTAGGAAGCGCCAGGGGCGGGAAGGGAGGGCAGCTCAAGCCCCGAGCTGCTGGAGAGCGAGGGGTCACGAGCACACATGTCCGAGGGGCGCCGCTTCCCGTGCAACCATGCAGCTGCATCAGGGTGTCCTGGCCCTGTGGGTCCTCTCAACCCTGGGCCACAGAGCCCCCGACAGTCTTGGCCTCAGCCCTGGGAGGGGCCAGAGGCCTCACCCCCATCCCGGCGGATATGCAGGGTGACCGTCTCGCCCACAGTCCCAAAGCTGACCGTCTGGGTGGAAACCTCTGTTCTGAAGCTGCTCTGACCACTGTCCAAAGAGCGCTGGACCTGAGTGCAGAAGGACGGCTTCCAGGACGCGGCATCCCCAGCCCGGGCCTCCCGCACGCAGAAGGAGACACCCACGGGGCCAAGCTCCTGCGGCCCCGAAGAACGCACCTCCCGGGGCCTGAGCCTGCGGCTGAACAAGCCGGGTGGGCCTTGGGGGCCCGCTGGGCGCCCCACATTGAGCAGGACTGGCCGCCCCACGGTGGGCTCGCTGATGTCTCTCTGGAGCACCGAGACCTCGCAGGGCGGGTCGTCAGAAGCACTGGGCGAGAGGCCACCGCAGCCGAAGGTCTCCCCTTCCTGGGGCTCATAATCCTCCAGGTCAGCCAGCGTCAGCGCGTGGCCGTCGTGTGTGAGGATCTTGGGGTCACGGCCCTGAAGGCCCTCAGTGTCCTGGGGCTCCTCCACCAGGCTAGCACCACCCCCCTCCTCCTGCTCCAGGGGGGCCTCCTCTTCATCGGCCTGGGGAAGGGACAGTTCAGGGGTCTCCAGCCCGGCATCCGCGTGGAAGACCAAGGGCTCCCCAACGCTGACCACGGTTCTGCCATGGGCCGGGGGCTCCTGAGCCAGCAGCTTGTTGTTGGAGTTGTTTGTATTGGGGTCCCCTCCAGGGGTCCTGCCAGGCGGTGTGAAGAGAAGCCCTGCAGAGCTGCCGGGCCCCTCTCTGGCAGGGGACGTGCCCCTTTGGCCTGTCTTCTTCACCCGGACTTCGATGGTCTCTTCGACCTCCACCCACTTGGGCTGGGGCCCAGCGCCCCTGGGTGAGGCCGGCGTGGGGGCCTCAGGCCCTGTCACGAACAGCGTGGGTACAGTGGGCCTCCACCCTGGCTCCGCCTCGGGCCTGTGGGGTTGCCCGGCCCCCCGTGAGGACAGCAGCTCAGGGGCCAACAGGCCTGGCCTGGGCGGGCTGGCAGGGCGGCGGGAAGGCGAGCAGGAAGGAGACTTGCTGGGGGACTGGCGTCGGCCACGGGGGCTCTTCACCACAGTGGTGATGGTCTCCTCTCTGCGGGGAGAGGGCCGAGAGGAGGTGGGCACAGAGACGCGCTGCCTCGCCCAGTGCCCGCACCATCAGCACATGCGGGGGCCGTGCAAGAGATGGGGTTAGTGTACAAGCAAGTGGTGAGACTGCAAAGAGAAGTGCTGCGCGTGTGCTTGAGCCCGAACTCCAGACCCCGCAGCCAGAGAACCCGAGAACAAAGCACAAAGCCTCATCTGGCCAACCTCGGGCTCTGGTGTACAGACCTCAACACAAGAGTTGAGGCAGCGGAGGAGACCCACACCGCATCACACAGCACCTCCATACCCCAGACCAAGACTGTTTTGCAGTGTCCCCAGGTGGCAGTCTCCCCTCCCTGCTGACAGCCATCTCCTTCTGGAGACGCCAGCCCTTCTCACGGAGCGAACAGGTAGGGCGTGGGGACATGGCCGCTGGCCCTCCTGCCCATCCCACCAGTGCTTTGTGCTTTGTATCAAGGGTGGGGGTACCCCAGCGAGCTCTTGGAGGGCAGGGGTTCAGTGACCCTCCGTCAGGGACAGGAGGCACAGATGGTGCCACAGGTGCAGGACCAGGACGGCTGTCAGAGCCGTCACGGTGTCTGGGGGTGTGAGGCCTGGCAAGGACACCTGCTCCAGGCGTGGCTTGTGTGACCTCAGGCAAGCCCTTCCCATTCCTGGGCCCATCTCCCGGGGGAAGGGGGAGGAAGGGGAAGAGAAGGCAGAACTCAAGGCTAGTGGCATGGGGGTGAGCACTGGGCACTGGCCAGGGACGTTGCAGCAACCCTGGGGGATGGGTGGACCCCTTTTATGGGTGTGGATAACAAGGCTATAAAAGGCTCAAAACTTGCCCAGGCCCAAGAGTCAGAAGCCCCCCAGTCAGCCCAGGCCCCCTCCACCACCCAGGGCCTCTGACCTTGCTGGTGCTGAGGGTGAAATGAGTAACAGAAGGGAGCAGGAACGCCTGATCACACACAACTCCCCTGGGCCCTGGGGCTTGCGTTTCCTCTCGGGCTCAGGCAGAGGGCCCTGGCGTGTGTTTGGTGACCACTCTGCTGTCGCCAGCTCCCTGCCGTGACTAAGGCGTTCTCTCTCTCTCTCGTTCAGCTTTGCTTTTGTCTAACTCGGGGCTCCATCCAGGAGCAGCTACTCCCAGGAATGGGCCCAGGGATGGGTGGCCACACCTTGGGGCACGCAACAATTATAGATCCTACCTCCTCCGGCTCTCCCTGGTAAAGGGGAAATGCTGTACCCCATTTAACTGATGGGGAAGCTGGGGCTTGGAGACATGGCCTACTCAACGCCACAGGCCTACCTTCCTGCCTCACACCCAGGTTCGGGGGCAGTAGGCTTGTCCCTGGGTTGGAGCCTGCCCATCAGGGTCCTCGTGCTGCCCACTCTGCTGAGGTGAGACAGTGAGTTGAGTGGAACTTGGCAGCTGGATCACTCCGCTAAATGCCGCCCCATTGGGCTCACTGTTCCCCATGAGGGCATCCCCCCCTGCTGGGCTCACT